CGATCCGACAACGGTGGTGAGTATACTTCTGACCCCTTTCAGCAGCTATGTCGAGACGAGGGCATAGAGAGACACTTCACAGTTAGTCATACACCGTAGCAAAATGGGGTGGCAGAGAGGTTGAATCGGTCTTTACTGGAGAAGATCTGATGCTTATTGTCGCAGAGTGGTTTGGAGAAGATCTTTTGGGCTGAGGCACTTACATATGCGAGCCACCTCATTAATAGGCTGCCTTCATCTGCGATTGAGGGGAAAACCCCTATGGAGATGTGGTCGGAAAAGCCAACACATGACTATGACCAGCTCAAGGTATTCGGGTGCCCTGCATATTATTATGTTAGAACTGATAAATTGGAACCTCGAGCTAGGAAGGCCATATTTGTAGGATTCAAGCGTGGTGTCAAGGGATATAAGCTTTGGGATCCAGTGGATAAGAAGATTGTGCTGAGTAGGGATGTCACATTCGATGAGGCTTTTATCTTGAAGCTTTCCATCTCTCATCAGGTGGAGAGCGACCCGACGGAGGAGATATCGCAGGTGGTGGAGATCGATGCAGCTCCACATTGTCCAGATGGTACAGTATCCATGCAGGTGCCGACTGAGGTGACGCCAGGCGAGCACGACGGTGACACGGAGGATACGAGTACAAATGTGCAGGATCAGGAACCGACGGCTCAGGTTCAGGATTCTATTGCGGCTAGGAGACAGAGGAGAAACATACAGATGCCAGCACGGTATGCCGACACAGTTGCGTATGCACTTCCGGTGGAGCGTATCGATGAGTTGGTGCCTACTACATTCAGAGAGGCCGAGCAGAGTTCGGAGGCTGATTCGTGACAGGTGGCTATGCAGGAGGAGATGGAATCTCTTCATAAGAACGATACATTGGAGGTTGTTGAGCTTCCAAAGGGGCGGAAGACAATTGGTTGTAAGTGGGTATACACGAAGAAGGAGGGCATTGAGGGCACTCCATTGAGGTTCAAAGCTAGGTTGGTTGCGAAGGGCTATGCACAGGAGGAAGGTATTAACTATAATGAGGTTTTCTCTCCGGTGGTGAAGCACTCTTCGATTCGGATTCTGCTAGCTTTGGTGGCACAGTATGGTTTGGAATTAGATCAGTTGGATGTGAAAACGGCATTTCTTCATGGTGATCTTGATGAAGAAATATATATGACTCAGCCATTGGGATTCCGAGCTGCAGGGAAGGAAAAATTAGTTTGCAAACTGAAGAAATCGCTATACGGTTTGAAGCAGTCTCCTCGACAGTGGTATAGGCGATTTGATGGTTTTATGATTGGTCATTCGTACACTCGGAGCCAGTTTGATCCTTGCGTATATTTTCGCAAGTTGAAAGGAGGTGCGTACAAGAAGAAGGGCAGAATTTGTTTGACACATGTGGCTTATTTGAAGAAAGTTCTACAACGATTCCATGTTAGCATGGATACGAAGCCAGTTAGTGTACCATTGGGAGCCCATTTGAAGCTTTCAGCTGGTCTTTCACCGAAATCAGTTGAAGATCGAGAGTTGATGTCGAAGACTCCATATGCGAGTGCGGTTGGGAGCTTGATGTACACGATGGTATGTACGAGACCAGATTTGTCACAGGCAGTAAGCATGGTATCGAGATACATGCATGATCCAGGAGTGGGTCATTTGGACGCTGTGAAATGGATTTTGAGGTACATTTGAGGTACATTTGAGGTACACTCAATGTTGGTTTGGTTTATGAGCGGGACACTACAGGTGGGCAGCTATGCATTGGCTATGTTGATTCGGATTACGTTGGGGATTTGGATAAGCGCTGGTCTACGACGGGGTATGTGTTCACTTTGACCCGTGCGCCGGTGTGTTGGAGAAGCACCTTACAGTCGACGGTGGCTTTGTCTACGACGGAGGCAGAGTATATGGCAGTTACGGAGGCTGTGAAGGAGGCTATTTGGCTTCGAGGACATTTGGAGGAACTTGGTATATCGCAGATGTCCGTCACTATTCATTGTGATAGCATGAGTGCTATCTATTTGGTGAAGAATCGAGTTTTTCATGCGCGGACGAAGCACATTGATGTTCATTATCACTTCGTTTGAGATGTTCTTGAAGATGGCGATGTGTAGATTATGAAAGTCCACACGAAGGATAATCTGGCGGATATGCTCACTAAGGTGATTCCGAGCAACAAGTTTGATCATTGTCGAAACTTATTGCATATTCGTGATTGTTGAGGCCGTTGGCGGCCATTTGGATGAACTACGTTCGGCTTGATTCCTTGGGTAAGAGGATACGTAGGCAGTCTTTCAAATGCAGCCGGTTTGGATTAGTTGATGGGGGTGAGATTGTTTGGACTCTCGTTTGGGTTCTTGACTTGTTGTGGATTGACTTCGTACTGAACACAACAAGTTGGGATATTTGGATGCTTTGGTGTCGGCTCAGTTTTGGGAAAACTTCACCGATGTGGAGAATTGTGAAGGGACACCGTGTGGGGGCCATTGCAATTGAGAACGTGGCCACTTTCTCATGTTCTCAGCATTTTTTTGCTTCTTTGTTGTTGAGTGGGGACCACCACATGATGTTAACGCGTGAAGAAGCCAAGCCGGCCCACCCGAATCACAAGCCTATATATTCTTTTTTACCTAGGGTTTAGGTGTGCAGGAGGTTTGATTTGTTTTTGCGGCTGCGTGAGTTCGTGAGCAAAGGTGAATTCGTGGCGGCTGACTTTGAGAAGCTGTTGTTTTTTTTTTCAAAGTCTTTTGTGCATCTTTTGTAGAGAGATATTGTGAGGGATTTGAGAGTTTGTTTGAGGGTTTAGGTTGTGAGTGATTGTAAACCCTAGTTGTAATCTCTCCCTCTATTAGTAGATCTCCCCCCTCCTTGCCCCGTGGACGTAGGCAATTTGCCGAACCACGTAAAAATTGATTGTACTGCTTTTGTGTGATTTGTAATAGCTTTTAGGATCCCTCGACAGGTCAGTCCTAGAACTGATGAGAGGAAGAGCCGATATCTCACTTTGTTGAGATATCCGCTTCAGATTCTTGTCTCCTTGGTGAGATGGGAATTCTTATTGTGATCTGACTCTCTTGTTGTGCTGCCGAATGAGATGGGAATTCTTATTGTGATCTGACTCTCTTGTTGTGCTGCCGAAGTGCTGCCGAAATTTCCGCTGCGCACAACAATAGGTCCTGTTATAATATACAATAATTGCCTGCAGGGCACCTATATCTAACATTGATTTGGTCACATATTGACTAAATAAAGAGTTAATTCTGAGTTTATATAGATTTGAATTTCTTCTCTATAACATTTAGTTTATGGGGCTCTAACGGGCGTTGCCTAACTTTTCAGAATAAGCTGAAGTCATTAAGCAGTAACTATAACATGTGGCTAGATTATAAATATGGTAAATTACACTAGACCCCGATGAACTTTCAGTGTCTTGCAGTACCCCATGAACATTTAAAATCACAATAAACCCCCAATAACTTTTGCAAAAAACTCTCGTAAACTTTTAGGTGAATTACTCTAAAACCCCATGAACTTTCAAAATGCATGTTTCTGTTGTTTTTCGGCTCTAATTTTTGGAGGTTATCTACAACTCTTAGAAAGTTTATAGGGGTTTTCTACAATTCTAAAAAAACTATTAGAGATTTAGTGTAAATTTGAAAGCTCATGGATGTTTAATGTGAAAAATACAAAGTTCATATGGATTAAGTGTAATTTACTCTTATAAATATCCAGGCTCTTCCTGGTTATTAAAGGAAACTTGATGAACCACGTTATGGACATTGGGAAGTAATCCCATACGTCATCTCACCAACAACTTTCCTTTTCTTTCTTCCATGGCATGGCGACTTGGATCTTAAAAACTAGGTTTATATATTATAACTTTTTTTAATTCTATCCATACTTTAACTTAGTTTTTGGCGGCACTTATATACACTAAACAGCCTAAACTCACTTGTTTTGTCAACACTTACAGGATATTTGGTTCAAATCCTGAAATTATAGGATTTAAAATCTCATCAAGAATTTTAAATCTATGTATTTTTAACACTTACAGGATATTTGGTTTATATATTACATCCTGAAATTATTTTTTATTAGATTTATTGTTTTAAAATATATTTTATAAAATGTTATTTTTAGATGAATAGATTTTTTTAAATAATATATATTTGAACTCCTAGTTGAGAGTTTGTTAGAAGAGCTTTGCTACGGGGACCCAAAATATGGGACCAATAGAGGGGACAAGTGAGGTGTCTCCCTTTTATTGGATAATGAGTTGGTCATCATTAATGATGACCAACTCATTATCTAATAGGTGAAAGACACCTTACTTGTCTCCTCTATTGGTCTCATATTTTGGGTCCTTGAGGAATTTTTCTTGTTAGAATATTTCTTCTAGTAAAGAGCTTCTAAGTGGGTCCCATGCTTAAAGAGCGCTCCACGGGAAGCTCCCTACCGGGATATATATTGTTGGAGATGCTCTGAGTGTAATTCTTCTGTTTTCCCTTTTAGAACACAGAATTTATATGCGCATCAAAACAATAAAACAAACCGTGTATTTTACTTTGAATTCTGACTGACGAAGAGACGGGTCAACCATGCCATAATTACTTCCATTTGGGCCAAAAGTGTAATTCCCCTCCAAAATATTCCACCCCCCTCTGCATGTGCTGCCTAACTTTTCGGGCAAAGCTGAAATGGGCAACAAGCAAGCGTTCTCTCGACTTCACGTCAGCAGCTCGTACCCACAACTCCACCCCACCACCCAAACAACAATCCAACAACCGGCGTGGGACCCCGCTCGCACATTCATCGCACTACCGGTCCGGGGCCCCACCTCACCCAACTCCGGGCTGCCCCACCCCCGCGGTTGTTTGTTGGAAAAGCACACGGACCCTCCTCCTCCATATGCCCTCTCCTCTCCGCCAAAATCCATCCCCAATTAAACCCGTGGCGATGGACTCCCCCAACCGAACCCGATAAGCCCTCGGCCGACCCGCTCCATGACCTCCGCCCCGACCCGCATACTTCTGCCGGGCGACGAGCCCGGGACGAGCTGGCACTACACCTCCCAAGGGGCGTCCGCAACTCCGTCCTAACTTCAGACCCCAAACGGGGCCAGCTCTTCACCCAGTCCTTCACCGCCGCTGGACCCCACACTCGACCCCCCGTCAGGGCCCACCGTCTACATGATCCCACGGCTTACGGCTCGACTCCGGGGCTCTTCCAGAAGATCGCCATCGCCTTCGCCTCCTGGGGATACTCCGTCCACCTCGCCGACCTCCTCGGTCACGGCCGCTCCGACGGGCTCAGGTGTTACCTCGGCGACCTCAACGCCGTCGCCGACGCGTCGCTCTCCTTCTTCCTCTCCGTGCGCAACTCTGCGGTAAGGCTGAAGTGTTCCTGGTCGTTTTCCGTTCAAAATCTTACTCTGAATTCGAATATTTGTCCTGGTCCGAATTCCTTCCGACTTTTAACTTATAAACATGAACTTTTTTTTCCCAGATTTCTACGAGCATTTATTAGAGCGTAAACTACGTTGAAATCCCTAACAAATTTCAATATTTTACAGCACACCCTCAGAATTTACGAAATCGCAACTAACCTCCAATTACCTTTGGGATCGCAGGAAACTCCTGATAAGCTTCCACGTTTTCGCAGATAACCCCCACGAAGTAGAACCAAAAATATAACATTAAAAGGCATTTTGATAGTGATTACGGGTTCAGTGTTATTCACCCTAAGGACGTTCGTTCGGGGGTTTTTTTTTTTTGCGAAGTTATTGGTGTGCAGTGCAATTTTTGAAAGTAAGCGGGGTTTATTACAAAATTCTGAACGGGGTTTAGTGTAATTTACCCCTTATTTGAACTTTAAAAGTAAGTTCTTCAAGATTAGTATAGAACTTTATTAATAACAAAATATAAATGAGTCAGAAAGCGCAACATCATGCATGTAACGAATAAGCGTTTAAAGAGATAAAAGTTTAGACAAATATTTTTGATAATGAAATGAATCCAATGTACTAAGCGAACAATTTACAAACTATTTGTTAATTATTTAGTTCGTTCCCACCACTTGAATCAATCGCAGGAGTACGCAAATTTGCCGGCGTTTTTGTTTGGGGAGAGTCTGGGGGGTCTCGTGACGACATTGATGTATCTGCGGTCCCCGGACAGGGGAGTTTGGACGGGGGTTATACTGTCGGCCCCGTTGCTCATGATACCGGAGGATATGAAGCCGTCGAAGGTGAGGTTGTTTTTGTTCGGGTTGCTGTTTGGGCTGGCGGATACTTGGGAGGCGATGCCCGATAACAAGATGGTCGGGAAAGCGATCAGGGATAAGGAGAAGCTCAAGATCATAGCGTCGAACCCTAGAAGGTAATGTTCATGTCAAATTTCTATTTTCATTGTTGCATCACGGATACAAGTTGGTTGAAAATGGTGATGGAATTTTCTTATTTCTTTTTTTGTAAAAAAATAAAATAATAATTGCAACATGGCCTTAGTTGTTGCAGCATTGGTTGATTTCAAATCGGACAATGTAGATGGTTTTGTAATTGTGAACAAACGAGCACTTGATTTTGTTTCTTACGGTTGCTCGTAAACAACCGATAACGTTTATGTGCAAGGATGTTTGCCCTCTTCTTCGTGATCAATGAGAAATATGTATTAAAAAAAAATTCTTTCTTTCTTTCTTTGATTTCAACAAGGTATACGGGAAGGCCGAGGGTGGGAACGATGAGGGAGATCTCAAGAATGTGCGATCACGTGAGGAGCAGGTTCAGCGAGATTACCGCCCCGTTCCTGGTGGTGCACGGGACAGAGGACGGCGTGACGTCGCCGGAGGGGTCGAAGATATTGTACGAGGCGGCGGCGAGCGACGACAAGGAGCTGATTTTCTACGAAGGGATGTTGCATTCCCTGGTTCAGGGGGAGCCGGACGAGAACAGTGACCGGGTGCTGGGGGATTTCAGGAAGTGGATTGATGAGCGAGTGAGGAGGTTATGGCGGGAAGTGAGTTTTAGCCGGGGACCAGGTTGAACGGGATCTGATGGTGGTGGGTTTGGTGGTTGGGGGCTTTGTTGGGCTTTGTTGTTGTTTAGTTGGGTGGAAAAGTGGTGGTTAATAATTGAATTTGAGGTGGTGATAATGTGGGTTATATTGTATTATTGGTTAATGAAAATTCATATATTTTTTTTCATTGTTTCTCTATATTTTTTAGTTTAATGGTTTGTTGGGTGGGTATGTTCGGTGAAACTTTGACTAAATTTTTTAATGAATAATATTCTTCGGGTGTGTTTGGATACCAAGACGATTTTTTTAGTGTTTTTTAGAAAAACACTATGCCAAAGCGTTTTTTTTTTCAAAAGTGTTTTGAAAACACCATTGTTAGTTACTATTATATAGCGGCGGTGGCGGGCGGGTGGTCGGCGGCCGGCCGACGGGCGGCGGCCGGTGGGTGGTCGCGGGCGACGGTGGCCGGGCGGCGGTGGGCCTGCGGTCGCTTACGGCGGACGCGCGCTCGTGGCGTGCCGAGCGGCGACTGGCTAACTTGGCGAGGGTCGGTGGGTGGTCACGGGCGGCGGCCGGGCTGCGGCGGGCGGCGGTGGGCAGCATGCCGAGACCCGGACGAGCGGCGCGCGACAGCGCAGAGTGAGGTAGCGACGGGGCGGCTGGCTGGTCGCGGCTCGAGGAGGCGGGCAGGCGGCGACGGGTCGGCGGGGCGGGGCAGGGGGGCGAGCGAGGGCGGCGGGCTGGGTGGGCCCGCCCACCGGCGACGGCACGTGGTGTGGCGGCCAGCGTGCGGCGACAGGTCGGGGGACGCGGAGGCGGGCCAGGCGCGGCGGGAGCGCCCACCCGCCGCGCGGGCGGGTGGCCGGCCACCGCCGACGCATATGGTGGTGGCGGCCGGCGGCGGCGACGGCTCGCGACAGCGGAGGCGGCAGGCGGCGGCGGGAGCGGCCACCCGCCGACGGGCATGGCGGGTGGCGGTAGCGGCCACCCGGCGGCGGTGGCCGGCTGGCCGCGGGTCGGGGCGGCGGCCTGCGACGGCGGGCAAGCGAGCGGCGGCGGCTTAGATGAAAAAAAACGGAATCTCAAAGCACCTTTTTGGTGTTTTAATAAAAGTGTTTAATTTTTGCATTTTGTAAAGGGTCAAGTCAAAAAAACGCCACGGTTGCCAAACGCGTTTCATTGTTTTTTTTGAAAAAAAAACGGAAACGGCAAAAATGACATGGTATCCAAACGCTCCCTTTTAAGTATTTCAATAATAACAATAGCAAATCTTTATGTCTGCAAGACATCTATTAGAGCCGCCTACATGCGAGTTGGCGGTTTTGAATCATATAACGGGGAGCGAAATTGGGGGAGAGCGAAAACCACCCACATGCATGCGGACGGTTCTAATTGGACGTGGACTCTTTTTATCTCATACAATTTTGAGGATACTATAATAATATATTACTTCGTTTTAAAAGTTCTATTCTACTAATTAAGTTAATCATTATCATATTTTTATTAATTCTATCATTGTTTCATCTTAATAATCCAAAGTGAAATATTATACATGTGATGATGACAAGCGAGCAACAAGCTGCGCCGCTAATCCTTTCTGAATTACAAAACCCAACCTACGAAACACGTACTCAGCGGACCCTGCTGTCGCTACATCTTATTCATGAATTTCTGTACCCTCCTGAGAAACTCCACCGCATTAGCTGCAAGGAAACCAAACGTATCGAAAGCGAACGGGATGAAGTTATGGTGGTTATCCTTGCAAGCTTGATCATGTTTGCCCACCTTTGCCTCTGCTGCTCTATCTGCTACATGTCCAACCTTGAACTCTCCATTACCAAACCCCACCAACGAAGATACCCCTGTGAGATCAACACAAGCGTGCTTTCCCCCGCTCCAATTGTAGACAAGAACGTCTGCCGGCCTTAGAGTAGATCTAGCCTCTCCAGGAGGAGTGAGGAAGTTGACTGGCGCTTCCTTCTTTGATGGGATCCCTGCTCTTTGAAGGATGTCATACAAGACATCTCTGTCTAATTCGTGCCTGTACTTGAACCCCGGCTGCTTCTGACAATGGATGTCATGCTCTCCAAAAGCATCCATATGCGTCCTACGACAAACTGGGCAAATTGTCCCCTCCACGAATAAAGGAACCAACAACCTGTACCTGAGGATGGCCTGGTACTCCCCCGGAGTCATACGCTGTCCCAATCCCTCAATAGGGGTGGCCAACAAGAAATCCTGGGCGTGCTTTGCCCGCAGGCACTCAACAATCGCAACTTGCCCCTTTGACAGGTCAAACTCTGTCGATAGATCTCTACAAACGCCACCATAAAAGATGTCTGCCAAGTAATGCATTGGTTTTGGGGGACAGACCCTTTATTGATGATTTGAAGAAGGTCAACCTCAGGTAGCTTGGCTTGAAGAAAGGCCCGGGCGGAAGTAAAATGCTCACCTAAAGAAACCTCACCACAACCTCTCAAAATGTGGTCTTGGAGCTCGATGGAGTGAATCCGAGAGGCCACAAAGGAAAACTGTATATCTGCCACTGCATAGACCCCCAACCCGCCCACCTTGATAGGTAAAGAGGCCAGCCTCCATTGGAGATCCCCGAAGCCTGGGCCTTCGGATGTGACAATGCTCTCGACTGACCTCCGAAGCATAATATCAAACTGAGTTCCCGCCTGAGCAAAGAGCTGTGGCGTGCAAGTCAAGGCGAAATACAACTTGGACAAAACCGCACAAGCCCTCAAAAGGACGAGCTCGCACTGTGGATCCCTAAGTTGGTCCAACGCTTCCATTAACTGAGTCGCCTTTGCCACCCTCTTCGCTGCTAACCCACCAACAAACCCCTCGTCCATGCTAACTGCTCCACCTAAAAGCCTTACTCCATCACGAGGACAACTGATATCCAAGGAAAAAAGCCCCTCCAGCAAACTCCTAGGATCCGATGAGGGTCAGAATAATTCAGTTTTGGTGACATTGAGGTCCAACCCGAGCCTTGGGCCTTCAGTCTCGATCACCTTATATGCCTTAGCAATCTCCAAAATATCCCCGACCAGGGACCCATCGTCCAAGTACCAAGCATGAAGAGCCAACTTGCACTCTTCGTGCACTCGAAGAATCAATGGGTGAAGCGTGAGTGCGAACAACATAGGCCCTAACGGATCCCCCTGCTGGATCCCTCGAGCAGACCAAATGAAATCCACCCCCAAATACAGTCTAGCGGGCTGCACATATAGAAATTCCACCCAAGGAGAGATCGCCGAACACTTAAGGCGCATTTCCCGCAACATACTACTCCTGTCGACCAAGTTAAATGCATTCCGGAAGTCAACCAAAAGCATGGAGAGCGAGTCCTCCGCATGGTGGACATCAACAAACCTATTAACCGCATGCAAAATTGCTTCTGCCCCTCCTGAGACTTCCACCCCAAATTGAAATTCTCCCAAATAACTCGCCATGTCCTTCCCTACCTTCTTCATGGTTACTTTAGAGATGAGACACCTCCAAATGGTACCTACCGCAATCGGCCTAATGCCCCCATCACTCTTCAACAACGGAGTGAGGGGAGCACTAGCAATAAACTCCGTCAAGGAGGCCGGACAACGCCCTTGCAACCACAAATTAACCACTGGGGTGAGAGCCGCGAGAAGGTCGTTATTAATAGTGGACTCGGGACCACAAAGTGCATCTAACAAGTGCTGGGCTCGAAGGCCATCACGACCATAAGAGGTCCCCTTAGGGAAGGACCACATGCAATGGAGAACCTCCCCACAGTCCACTAAGAGCGGCTCTTGGTCATACCCAAAAGCTGGCAACACCGGAGGAGGCGCCGAAAGGTGTTTTCCTCAAGGGACTGACGCGTTTGCGGAATGTCCGGAGCAACCCCCGAGGACGTGAGTACCTTCACGGCCGCTGAATAGTGCCCATCTGATATCTTCCTCAAACACTGTTTAACATTGTTAACAGTTGGGCGAGCACCGGGGTCGTCAATTCGGGCAGAGGGGGGAGAAGGGAGCTCTCTAAACATAGTGTCAAGGAGTTTTTGGGGGCCTCCAACCTCACCCCAGGTGGACAATGCCTCTAAGATATGTCGTTGTTGACGAGCCTTTCTGTTGCCTGACCTCGAACTCTTGCGATCATGGGTTTTAATAACTCTTAAAGTGCAACACGGCAAGATCAAAAGCCATACCCACGCGTCACAAGATCGCGGGTTAGAGGACACCCCAAAGAGCGAGGCTTTGAGGGCAGCCGAGAACGCCAACCTACAAGATGGGGGAACATTTTTAACCATTCGAAAACCCCAATTAAACACCCTTTTGACTGTACTACTGTCGAGTTTACAATGCTGTGGACCCAAGGAGGGGATAGGTGACACAGACTCGAGGATAGGAGAGGAGCAAGGCCGAGTGATACCCACAATGGTACACCTCGCATTGCCCCCGTCATCCTCTGAAGGTGGTCGAATAGACAGTCCCCTGTCATGCTTACAATGTTTACTTAGGGCACGGATCCTCAAGCACATACCACACATCCATTGCCCCATAACTCGTAGGGTGGCCTCAAATACATTGAAAATGGTGATGTCACGGCCTAAAAGCCCCTTGCATTCCTCGACCTTAGACTCCGAATGGAGATGATGCTTACGTAAGTGTACAACCAAATACCCAGGGGTGAGCCCCTACCCTCAGAGCCCCCTGCCGTGCATCCGTCAAGTCCCTTAAGAGGGCAGCAGACAAACAACTTTTGTGTCGCCTAAGGAAAAGACCGGATCAACCCCCGAACCGAGACCCTCCTTCTGAACTGTGGCCCTCCTCCTGAACTGTGGCCATGAATATAAAAATTATATTTTTATATCAAATATTGTCTTCAGCTTTTTAATTATCAAACTCAACTTCTAAGAACAAATGAAGAAGAGGCGGTCTTCATCTGGATCTGAAAGCAGCGCTGTCTGACTCCTTCCCAGTACGTAGTCAGGCGTCTGAATCTCCGTGCGGGAGCTTCCAAAGAGCGGCAGTAGCGTCTGGATCTTCTATTTGAAATAAATTCAAATACTGGGCTTTGTTGCACATGATTTATTAACTTTTGTCCTATTTGTTTTATTCATTGTAATCTTATCATCATATCTTTTAATTTATAACTTACGTATTACTGGGCTTTGTTGCACATGATTATTGTTGAAATAAC